CAGCAGGACTTTGGAGTTAACCCACTAACTTCATAAAGCAAATGCCACACAGTGCAGTAAGATCAGAACTAAGGGTCTAATAGGAAAAATGAAGTATTTATTGCTCATAAAAGTGAAAACCATAAGGCAGACCTTCATACGAAGGGGTAAGGTTAGCAAGGTGAAGCTGCAAAGTGAGGAAGTTTTAACAGTCAGTGTCAATATCTGGCCCCCAAATCAAAATAAGAAACCCTGAGTCACTTTACATCAATGAACATGTAACACATGCAATTGTCTTTGTAGCCACACAGGAAAATGAGCAATAACCTTCTGCAGGACAAAGTGACCTTTAGGAAGAGAAAAAACAGAATGCTCCACCGTCACTTGACACTTTCCTTATCTAACACACTTCTTGCTATAGCAGTCTTAGATAGGATGGTAGTTATTTCTGGATAGAAAAGTTTTGCAAAACCAGTAACATTATTTTGAAATGGAAAAATTTAGCTCTCATCACAAGATTCAGATGTCAAAGTTATTCTTCACATTACATAGTTATTTGATAATTGAACAAGTTACTGTTCATATTTTGAAATTCATATATAGCTTTTTAATTCTAGTAAAGCTGAATCTGAACAAGAATTCAGTTTCACAACTGACTCTTTACAAATTTCTTGAAAGTGTACAGAAATTGTCTAGACTTCCATAAGCACACTCACAGTTCTCATGGTTTCTCACTTCGAGGATATAGTTTTCTAAAATCAATTGAAATTTGGCTGACAATACCAAATAAGGAATCAAACAGGTCAAAGTTTACTTACTCTTTGAGCAAATAAGTATATTACTAGAAGCAAATAAGGGCCTGTGTAAAATTGAAATACTATCTCTACATTTGCGTATCGGAAGAAACTGGCCTGTGCACTGCCACAGCAAGCTCATTTATAAATGCAAATCAGCATACTGACTTATAGATTATCCACCATCCTGAAGCATAACCTTGGAAAGGTTAACCTAGTGCTGAGCACTGGCTCACTCGCACAGCAAATTGCTCCACACCTCCTGCTCTTTTTCCGTAATATACTCTTCTCTGAGATCCAAAACTTTTCCCACAAAAACATTTTCTGTTTTCTGCCAAGGGCTAACTCATAGTCTATTATTAATCAAGCTTAAATGCTGAGTAACCAAGATCACAAGTGAAGTCTCTATGAAAGTTAATACCAGCCTAATCATGGATTTTTCAAATTTATTTCATGGAATTAACCACATCTTAATAAAGAAGCAGAGTCACGTGCCGCATTCTCTCCTACGAATAATTGCATAGATGGCCTCCTTTCCAACTGGCAACCAAACAGAATTCCTGTGGCAATGACATCAGTTGCCTACATTGAAAAGTAATACAAGTAATGTATTTTAAGCTTCTTGTAAATGTGCCTTAGAAACTGGAAGCCTGAAGTACTGGCATGGTGCAAACTACTTATTCGCCATGCTACCACGTGTGTTCTTAAATTGAATTACTTGGTATGTCAAACCCAACTATGGAGAGGTATTCCTTTATGTTCACACAAAGCCACAAGGTTTATTGCAGTCTACCATGTAAGATATGCCAGTACACACAGCAAAAGTTCCCCTAAAATAGGAAATAAATAATTTAAGCCACAATAATCAAGTGTACTTTGGACAGATACATGCAAACAGTAAAACAACCAAAGTAACTGTTTTGTGTGAACACTGCATGAAAGAAATACCTCATTTGATCATTCATCAGTAAATACGGGTTTTAACCATATTTTGAGCTTCCAGTTGCATGTTTGCAGTACTGTAGCATATATTGGGTAGACAAGACTGGGCTTATACAACAGCCAACTTTTTGTCATATACTGCAGGTTATCAAAATATCTACAGTTTTCTATGCCTGGAAGACTGAACGTATAAGTTCATTACACAGTAGTTATTTTAAAGAACAAAATTCATATGCTGCATTTTTTTCCCATTATTAACATAACTCCAAGGCAGCCTTGAAATCAAATTTCTTTTTTTTTTCTTGAAAATTAACAGATGCAGCTTTCTAAATTCTTACCTGAAATGGCTAGGAAATCTGTCCAAGTCTAATATTACACTCAGCCTACTACAACAGAATAGCTGAGCAAACTTCAGCAAAGTTTAATTCTAACATTAGCAAAGTAATTGCTATACTATCTTTGCAACTCTGCCCTCAGGCTAAGAACTATCCCATCCCATCTTTAAGACTGCTCCTCCAGGTAAAGTCTCCACTAATTCCCACTTGTAGCAGCTTAATACATGCCCTGTCCCCTTGCTTTAATACACTTAACCCTCTGAACTTGCTCATCTATACACATCCAGGCTTAAGGGCTGACATCCTCATTAACTGAGGACTCTAAGGCCAAAATTACAGCTACACAATCACACACACAACCAGAGTATCCCTTACAATCAAGGAAAGGAAAAAAGTTGTATCTTGAAGTAGTGCCTTAATTATAGCTAACGAACTTAATCCCTACACCCAATCCCTAAGGAAACATTCCATGTGTTTTAAAGCATTCACTAGGAAAAAGTAGTGTAGAGAGTCAGTTCTGTGGAAAATAAGTATTACACAAACTTTGAGTCGAAGTACAGGATAGACAATATAAATGGCATTTCCAGATGAAGCATCTATATTTGCGTTTGTCAGGAATTTTACCCACATGAATATCCATGTGATTATGCCACCAAAGACTGAAGCCTTTTGAACAGAAGTTCTACCAAGCAGCTCATTGCAAGGCCACCAGGGCATTATATCTAGTAGATGAAGAGCTTACTCTGTTATAGGTACCCTTCAGCACGTAAGTAATGTCACTAGGGAAAAGATGGACCACATGCCTGTAAAACACAGGTACTGTAACATTTTTCAAAAGGACAATTGTCTTCAATATAAGATTGCTCCAGCAACTGGGTAGCTGAGCTGCAATGAAGTGAAAAACTGTAGCTGTTGTGGCAGGCTGACAGTGCCTAGACAACAAGTTGCATTACAAATAAACACGAAATACATGATTTACTTATCCCAGCTACTTTGAGGATCACAATGTAGATATCTTAGTAACTAATCCTATCGGCAAACTCAGTAGCAAATCAGAATCCACCAGGGAAAAAAAAAATCTTCTTACTCCAATTATTTTACTTGGTAAAGGTTTGTTTTGTTTTAATAAAAATTTGGTGTTGCTACAGTTATTCATAGCTACAGAGAGTCCTAAAGAAGTTAATCCAAAACAAAACCAAATCTGAGTATTACCAAAACCAAATTATTACAGAATGCAATTTTGTGAGTGTTTTTATCTAATACACGAATTATATTCTGTCCCATCACCTGTATCTACTTTCAGCTTAGTTCAACATGCTAGGTTTCACAGATGATGATCTAATTCTAATGTTTAATTGAATACCTATAAATTATGATGAAACACCCAAGTCAATCTTCCAAGTAAAAAAATACCAACACCATGCCTATTCAAGAGGTTGCGATAAGTCTTCTGTTTCTGGTTCCTTGCTAGGAACCAGACACACACGAGATCAGGAGGTAATCATGGACTTTTTATGCCCCTCAGATTGAAAAATACCTGAGTTATAGGTTATCAGACTTCCCAGAACTCTGTTTTACTAATCTTATTTAGATGTTTGTCTTTCAATCATTAAAGCTTGACATGCATATATACTAATGGCAATTTTTATTTCCAGGTTTAAACTCTCCATAGATACACTATAATTTCTATATTGTTCACAAAGTATTTGTGCAGTTGTTTAGTTTTTAACTACTGCCTGCTCTTCTACAATATGTTTTCATTTTTTTGCATATACAAAATACACATTTACAACTTGTTTTAACAGCATCAATTCCCAAAGTAAAACACTCCCCTTTATAAACCTGCTTTTCCCTGACTAATCTTTTATTCAATGCCTTTTCTCTAAAGAAGTGCTTCTCACACACACTCAGCATTACTAGCTCTTCTAGAATAAATATGAGTATTTTCATGATTACAGAAGAATAAACTTAAACCAAAATGAAGACTTTACATTTAAGACTCCAAAAGTTGTTTTCTCCACTGTGCTTTTTCTGTTCCAAGAACTTTCCCTCCAAAGCTACCCAACAACTATGTAAATTGGAGAGATTAACTAATTTCAGTTAAGCAGTCTTCATAAAATTAAAAACATACTTGACATGCTCATTTATTTCATTCTCAGCAAATGTAAGCTTCTCCAACCAAAGGACACTTCTATTTAATAGATTCCTTAATATAAAGATTAGCAGATAAAAATGTTAGCAAACCCTCTTCACCAAAGGACAATGACATAATTAGGTTACAGGTTATCACTTTTACATCTACATTTTAAATATCATAAAAAAAACCCCAGAGTGGAGGATCAGTAAAATCTGCTTCCCCTGTAAAGGCCATATAGTATCAGACTCTTAACCTGACTCCTTTTTGGCAGCTTTGTTGTGGGGTTTCTATTAATTTAGCTACCATGGCAAAAATCCAGAAGGCATGAGGTGAACATTCTGGGAAACTCATTAACAATAAAGCCTCATAATACAACTTTTGAAGTTTTTTGAGGGAAGGGGGCCATTTTGTTGGGGCTGGGGGAGCGGGGGGGTGTTTGGTTGGTTGGGGGTTTTTTGTGTTTTGGTGATGGTGACTTAAAGTTTTGCCTTGCAAGGCAGGAGATGAAGCCAACAACATAAGTAAACAGAACCTCCTTATGGAACGATTAAGCAGAGAGGAAACAGCTTTCAGTGTTACAAACTTTGCAAAGAGTATGAGTTATCCAAGACTTGGAAACTTTTCCATCCTAAATTTGTCTTGCTGAGATTAAGTGTTGATCCAGTTGAAGGAAATATCTGGCATACACCAGTTTTGTACTGTTAACTCATCCACACATCATCATCACAAAATAGATCACCTCAAGACAACTGATAGGATTGATACATGACAAGGTAATTTTTTTGAGGAAAAAATGTAATGAAAGAAATCTGTAGTACAAAAATAAGATGGAGGAGGATGGGAAATAAGCAGTGATGCATTTAAGATATAAACAATAATCCATTACTTGATGAAAAAGTGAATCCAGACAAGATGGAAGTCCTTTTTGCTATTTATGAACAAGACATTAAGTGAGATAGTAAGATACAGCTGCATTCTGTGTTCTTCAATCAGTGCAACATCTAACACTCTTTGTAATTCTGAAGTAAAAGAAGTAGTCAGCAATAAGTTAAAGCATACATTTTTGTTTTCTGACAAAATAGAATCACTTTACACAGATTTAGCAACACTAAAACAGTGTTAAGTTACACTACAAGGAGACAATTTATTCTCATATGCAAGCAGTCCTTTTTAATTTGGGGGTAAGGAAAACCTTGTGTGGTACTAGAAAATGTATGAAAACAGAGGAACAGTGATAGTTTCATCTCCTTCCCTCCACTCTTCATCTATACATTACAATCAAACTCAACTTGTAGAGATGCAAAAACATTTTAGTGGACTGTAAGTACTAGCTTTTCTTTAAGTTTTACTTACTATTTTTTTCTTTTGAGATTTTAAATCTTCCAGCGCATCATCTGAAAGAAGGACATCATACATTAATTTTCAAATATAAATAAGAGATAATTTCAGCACACTCTGAACATTGACTTTGCCCTGTGAGATCAGGAAAAGTTATGCACTGACCACTAAGCAACCACACATTAGTAAACTTTGTGTAAAATAACTAAAGCTTTTATGTGAAAATAAATCATTTTAAATCCTGGAATTGCTTATAAATTATAGCCTAGTTATCACTTTACAGTTATAACTATTAAAAAGTTTTATGTACCATTTCCTCATTAAGCAAACCAATTCTACCCAGTGCCCTCCTTTGACCTACATTAAAACCGGTACAACAATGGACCAAATACACTTAATCTCATGAGTCAAACTAGAGAAAAAAGCTCGAGGTCTAAGTCTTAATATATCTATTTGAGTACCAGATTTACTGGCTTCAGTATTCACGTAAGCCTCTTAACACATGCTAGTTTCAAATGCCAGGTCAATTCTGAGCTTCAAATCTCAATCTGTTTCACCCTTTCAATACTTTAAGACTACAGCAAACGCCCCAGTTTTGTAAGAAAAGCTACTAGAAGGCCATTTTACTACTAAATGTTAAGAGACTGTTACAACTAGTAGGCACAGCACCTAACCTCTCTAAAAGGAAGGGAAATAAGAAAAGTTAAATGCATGTGGGATTTTCCTTTAAGTCAATGCTTGCAGCTTTACACTCATAGAAGACTCGCTGTAATAAACCATCGCCCAAAACAGAAAATATTCTCTTGATAAACCCGTTTTCTACTACCTCCTTCACAGCAAGGAGAGTTTAACAAAAAACTTTATAACTTTTTCCTCTTCTCAGCCCTACTGGACACCAGTAGTTCACTTCCTGTAAGATATGCTATTTTGACCCATTTTTCAGTTTTCAAAAAAAGAAAAAGCTTCATAGAACTACAAGAAACAAGAACAAAACCCACCAAACTAAATACACTTTTTTTTTTGTATCTTTATTTACATGTACTTAAGTATACTATACACACTTTTTAAACTTACTTCAAGAACACTACTATTACTTGAAATTAAGGAAACACATCATTACTTAACTTTTCCAGAGTGTAGAAACCCATTTTGGTAGGATAAACCACTTTATTAAATGTACAAAATACTAAAACTGGACATGTACCTATTTGAAAGTTTATGCAATGAAAGGGTAACTGCAACTTTCCCTTATTTGTTAAGACAAACAGGACATGGAACGAGACCACATTTAGCACTGGGCTGGACCACAGAAGATAGACAATTTCAGGAATTGTGCATCTTCAAATTAATAAGATACATAAATGTAAAATTTGGTGGAGAGAGGTTAGAACACAGCCTCTCATGTAGCTCCGCACAGATTAACACCTTGAAGTGCACTGCAATGTAGTACGGTATCACGCAGCCAAACAAAGGCACGATACAGTCAGCTGTTAACAGTTACTCAAGAAACAGAAGCTGCTTTTGGTACAGAAATGCCTAGAACGTCTTCAAGCATAGCCTCCCACAAAGCAATGCAGTCAGTTTAAAGTGTGGGCACTTGTTTTGTATCACTTTACCTCCTGTGTTCAACAAGAACCTCATGAAACACCTGCCCTTTCAAAGGTGGCCAAATGGCAATTACTGGAAAGTACTCTCAAGAAACCAATATATCACATCATAATTAAACTTACAGAAAAAAATTCACACTAGTGAAGTCAATATCTGCAAGATGCCTTATTTATCTTCCCCACACTTTGGGACAGATCAGCCCAAGTCTTCCTCAACAGTTGTTTGCCTGACCAGTCTTAAAAACTGAAATTCCGTAATCTCTGTATCACCTTTCCTAGTTGTTTCACAAGGAATTTTCACAGAATCATTTAGGTTGGAAAACACCTTTAAGATCATCAAGTCCAACCATTAACTAAACACTACCAAGTCCACCACTAAACCAATTAAGGGGAGAGTAGCAATTTCATGTTTCCTGGCTTGGTGGCTGGATTATTTTTAATGAAAGTAAAAACTAGGAATCATTAAGGTTGGAAAGGACCTCTAAGATCATCAGTCCAACCATCAACCCAGCACCACCATGTCCACTAAACCATGTTGCAGAGTGCCATGTCTACCTGGTTTTTTTGAACGCTTCCAGGGATGGTGACTCCACCACCACTCTGGGCAGCCTGTTCCAATGCCTGACTACCCTTTCCGTGAAGAAATTTTTCCTAATATCCAATCTAAACCTCCCCTGGCGCAGCTTGAGCCCATTTTCCTCATTCAGAGCCTGGTTGCCAAAACTGGTGTATGCTGGTTATCCAGCATAGAGCTTTATAGTATTAAATAATCACCTCCAGTGACTCAATGTGCTATATTAACTTATTCCAGAATAAAAGGATAGCTTTAAGCCACTCAGTCACCAGTTTACTCTCTCAGCTACATTTTCTCCTGCTTTACTGCTGTAACTCTTGCACGGTGCATTTCATTTCTCTTTTCCAAATACAGGACTTTATCTTTGAGGTAAAATACTTCATTTTTACTCGATCTCTGGAACAATGCAGAAATAATTCCTTTTGGCATGTTCTAACATCTACTAAAACCCTTTATACACAGGTTCAACAAAAGCACTAAACTTGCTTGTTTGCTAAAAACAGCTATAAAGACATTTAAGCAAACTAGGAAAACATACATACTTTTTTTCTTATCCAGCCATGAAATGCAAACATATATTCACCTTAGAAATGAATCACACAGCACCACAGAATATGCGGACAATTTTATTTCTACATAAAAATGTATGTCCTATGCTTGCATATCAAATGCAAACATTAAGTTTAAGAAAAATTCCAGAAGTGATGTTTAACTCACAAGCTGTCACAAATTAAATACATCATGTTGTTCTGCAAGTCATAAAACATAGTGCAGCATTGAGGTTTTCCTGTATTATTGCTCACATCACCATGAGATATTGTTACAGGCTGGACTGCTTTCAAAGCCGGTCTCAAATTAATTCTAACTACTGCAGACAAGTGCCACAGATTCAGTTTTTAAATTCTGCATTAGAATGAATCTGCATGTTCTTTAACAGCTTTTTACGTATATTTGAACACCTGCATTACTTTTTTTTTTGTTGTTGTTGTTACATGACTCCCAATTTTCCTTAGCTCTCAAACCAGCACAAAAACACCTGCTTATCTGTTTTCCACTCAGGAAAACATAAGCATGCTTTGCAGAACTTGGGAGAGAAAAGCTATCTTGTCAAATAAATTAAACACATCTGCTATAAATATCTTCTCTCATACATAAGAATAACAGATTAAGACTGCTGGAATACTTGCAAGATGCAAGTATTAAGGGAACTACCATTGTTTATATTTCCTTTCCCTCACTCCTACTTCTACACTGCATTTTATTCCATTATACTTTGAAGCACACAAAGACAGGAGAAAGTTACCACAATTTTGTAAGTGAAGTGAAATATTAAGCATTTTCCTTCCTGTTCTTTCAATAACTGTGTGGTAGAAACAACAGTTTAGCTAATACTACCCATGTCAACATCAACCAAAAGGCTACTCATCTTTTCCTGGAAGCAAAATTATCCAAAATATTTACATTTTCATAGCAAGTATCATTCCCAACTAGCTCCATATTCTTAAAAAAAACAAAAAAGACAGAAAAAATACTTACTATTCCTTTCTGTCCTTCTGGAAAAGAAAAAAATGAGCAGTGTTCTTACAAACCAGATTCTTTAAAACAGAAAGAAGAATTATATTAATTAAAATATATTAAAGCAACCACTTCTAAAGTCATTTAGCAAACAGGATAGTTAATGCAGAAGACTTACCAGATGAGATTTAACTTTGCAAACACAAAGAACAAATATCTTCAAACAATATTTATACAGAAAATTAAATTAGTATCCTGTCAACAAGACATCAACATTGATCTAAATAAAATGGTCCTGTCTTAAAATTTAACCAAGTATTACTATAGGTAGAAATACTAAGGAAGCAGCAGCAAGCAACATAATCGCTTGCTAAAATGTTCAGTGGGAACTTTTTAAAATCAAGGTACGTGCAGCTAGCTGAAAATTACTTAGTCATCACTTCTTATTTGATAGATTTATGAGGCATGTTACCCAGAAAACCAAGCTTACCAGCTAAGGCCCAAAATTAAGACCCGGGAGATTTGTGGGAAGAATTCAATACCAATGAAAACCATGAGATACAGCTATTGTACAAATGGTCTCCCAAGCTGAGTTAACTGGCCTGACTCCTGGTGATTTTACAGAGCTCTGAATCCACTCAGTTTCTGTACTGTTTCAGCTGACTTAGCTCAAACAATGAGGCAGTTTATCTGTGCTCAAGATAAAGTTAAACTGATCTATGATCATTTTTACATTTGAAAGGTCTCTCTGCAACCATCAGGACCTCATTTGTTTTAAAGCTTAGAATTGCTTATAATTATTAAGTTGACACTTTTCCTGGCAAGTTATTTGGCCTAAGCTAAGTGGTAAATCGCATACTTCAAGCCTTTCCAAGCACCTTACCCAAACCCTCCTAGTGCCATGCACTATATAAAGCCTAAAGTAGCAGTGTTTCACTTAAGGGAAAAAAAAATCTTAAAGGCTAGAAAGGTTCTCTGAATAACAGCTAGTGTATGAAAGCAGGCAAAAGGCTGGAAGATTTCTAAGAGTTTCAACTTAATTCATAAGAACATCTTTTGCATTTATGTAATGGCTGCCCAGTTCAAAATGCTTTCATGTATTAACAACACAACCTGAGTTAGGTAAGTTAGACAAGACAACTAGAATCTGAGAGTAACCTATTCAAGGTCAGAGAAACAGAGAATGAAGTTTAACTCTATTCCTTGTTCAAAGGTGTGCCATAATAACTACTCTAAGAATACAGATGGCTTTGCCTGCTTATACAATGCAAGATGTGTCTCTTCATAAAGTATCAAAAGAAATAAATGTTTTACAGGGTTTGAATTGCCTTAAAGACTATGTTACACAGGCAAAAGCATTCTTTCTTTTTTACTGTATGCTTAATAGTCTTCTACCTGAAGTTGTGTTCTAAGCTAATAGATATATGGTAGGACTTCATGAAATAAAAAAAATTTCCTCTTTAAGAGCTTTGAGGTGAAAGTTTAATAGCAGACCATTTCAGACCAACTTTACAAAATAAAAACATATTTCTCTGAAAATCAGAACATGCAAGATGAAACAGAAATGATTTTCATTTGAATTACATTCAAGAGCAGCATCCTTCTAACATGGTAATATATTTCTTCAACTTTTCAGATATTTCAATATATATTTAAAATTAATGATGCAATATATTCCTAGAACTTAACTTGCTCTACCAGCATCAGTAACTTGCTGAGACCCTGAGGGAATGACCTAAGGCAGAAATAAGTTGGTGACTGACTGCAAGCTGGAAAAGGCAGACATATTCCAGTTTGATTAGGGATGAAAAATCTCTAGAGCTATTACTGGGTGGCACCAGGCATTCAGCTTGGAGTCACCTCTTGACCGAGAACAAAGACAAGCTGGCAGTTGCTTGCCATTCATATCTGCCAAAAAAAGCTGAAGGGGAATAGCTTAACAGAAAAATCAGATAAACAGTTGCAAGTCATAAGAGACCAACAGTCTAATTCTAAATGTTAGTAAGCTGATATCCAATTCGGAATTTTATAGAAACCCACCATTCAAAAAATAGAAAGCAGCAAGAATTGGAGGACAAACTAGAGAATAAAAATCCAATGTGAAAATTCACACCACAATGCTAGAAGCTATCACCTTCAGTAATAAGTTTTCATTTCTACACTAATCCTAACACACCTAAGTGAAGGGAGGCTGGTAATACTTCCTCTTCTACAAGCCTTCCCTGTTAGCATGAGCAAGCCTTGCATACTAACAACAAAGACTTCTAAATCCTTGTCCTTAAGAACAAAATCAATTCATATTGCTGCCAAATATTAATTTGGGCTTTAATTTCTATATTAATCCTTTCCAGTCAAGACATTGCTGCTCATGTATTTTCTCCACAGGATTCCTTAACAGCAGCACATTTGTACATTATGCATAACACAGTATGACGTACAAAAAGCATCTTCAAGTATTTTTTTTTGCATGTCATGTTATGCTGACCCACACTAATCAAGCTTGCAAAGCCTTAAATATTTACATTTGACTGCCTTTCAAGTCTAAAGCTAGGGCACTGACAAGTCATATTTTCATACAAAGATGCTGCACAAACACAGACAGTATTTACAATGTTTGTTTCAGCATATTAGTAAATGCACTGTGCTCCCCATCAATAAGAAAGATGCTCAGTAGGCTACTTCTCCTCCTTGATAGTCTGGGGGAAGGAGAAGCAGGGAAGCAGCTCTTTAGTGAGGTGGGAGTCCATTTTGTTATTTTTAGAAAAGCAGTTTTCTTCAAAAACAAAAGCCACTCGTGAGGATGAGCAGCCAATCAGCTCAGTGAAACAAAAAAGTAGACAATGCTTTCTCCTATTCACATCCAGTGATGTTAGGGTATTTTCTGGTTGAAGAAAACAGTCAATAACTTTCCAGAAAAACAGCTAATTATGTAAAACTAGTCCTCAATGTATTTAGGCTGATGACCTTTCAAGTCACTTCTGTGTTAAGTCACCCAATACCTAAGTTTCTTCATTCACTCTTGTATTTTTTTTCCCCAATTTTATACGCTGCATTTTACATACAGGCGACATACCTTAGGTTGCATTCATACAGTAGCGTTACTTTTCCAAATAGCAGTAGAAATAAAACCCAAGATAATGCTCTTCTACTTATATTACACTGCCTTGCAGCTGTTCAGATACAGGTCTTTCTCTAGCCCTAGTATAATTTTGATAAGCCAAGTAACTTTGGACACTAACATCTTTTGATGGCAAGACTTAGTTCTACACTAAACCCAGACCCATGAGAGACATTTCCCTCAAAGAAAGCATCTGCCTATTTTGATTTATTTTAAAAGAAAAAATTCAGCAAGTTATGACAACTCAAGGATTGCCAAAAGAAAACCCAAACCCCTGCCAGGATGTATTTTCCGTCTCCTTTTATCAAAGAGGCAGCAGTTAGGAGAAGGAAAAAAAAAAAAGAAGAAAATGTACTTACATGAATGGAAATGCAAAAAATGGAAGTGTCATAAACAACCTTGCTGTCCATTCATCAGGAAGATACCATAAATATACAATTAAGCAGGTGATAAGGTAAAGAAGTGAAGAGTAGAGGAGCAGCCTTCCAACCCATAGTTTCTGTAGCCTCTGATTTTTTTCTCTAAATTCTTCTAATGTCTGTATTTCCTGTAAATAAACAGGGTTCAACCTTATAGTGAAATTAGTCAGTGGTTTTACTAAGCTGCCTTTAAGTGTTTGCTAAAATTAGCCATACCAATTTGCTACTTGATTAGAAAAGTCAAGCTGCTTTTTGATAAATGACAATATTTGCCCAAAGATAACTTTCATAGCATAAATACATCACACTATTAAAGTTATGATATGGGCCACTTGCACTGTATTAGCAGTAACACATTGCTATTGGGAAGAAATATTAGAAATCAGCACTTTTTCCTATTTGTAATGCGCTAGTATATGTGGGGTAAGTGGAAAATCCTAGTATCTTATGAATGGCAGTCTTTACAATCACATAAATCACTACCAACCATACTTCACATCCTAAAACTTTTATCAGGCACCTGTGGAATTTTAAACATTTCTAATACTTTTCTACTAACATGGGAAATCGCTGAAACCTTTCTGTCATTTCACGTTTTCATTTCAGTATTTCCCTCACATTAAGAGGGAAATCCTGAACATCTGAAAAATGCTTTTGGCATATTAGTAAGTGATCAAGCAATGCTCTGCTATGTTACCATTTTGACTGCATTTTAAATGACAACAGGAGTACTCACATTTTCATTAAAAGGAAAACAAAAAAATATCAGCAGCATATTTCAAAACAGTTAATTTCCCCATAGAGCACAGACATCTGTCAAATTCTGGCTAAAAATCACAATTGATTACTGAACCATCTATTCAGTTATTCTGCCCCTGACCTTACTTACTACCACTACAGTTACAACACTTATACTTAAAACCATACATTGAAGCTTTTCTAATGAGCCTGATGAATAGAACTTTGTGTTAGTGACATTTCCATTACATGGGAGTTCAACCATCAGTTATAATTAAATTGTGTAATCAAGCCAACTTCACATTCATTCCCATTTCAGGTTCCCTAAATAAATATTTTAACTGTAGTTTCTCACTATCTATTTTACAGTACTTTTTTTTAAATGACTAATAGCAAGGGGAAAAAAGGTAGCAGTCCATCTGAAACTCAGAATCTCTAGCACATCCAACTGGAGTAATTATCGAAATAATTTAAAATTCCATGATAGTATTTTACCCAATGTGAAAGAAATACATGGCCAGCAAAAAGGATGCATATTTCTAAACAACAATCAAACAAAACACCAAAAAGCAAACACATACCTTATCAATTTTTTCTAATACTTCTACAGTGGAAGGCTTTGCCTGCTTACAAGGGAAAGAACAAAGATGTTAATATCACTAAAAAAGTCAATATTTTGAGGGTTACTGTACACTAACAGTTTTCTAACAAAAGACATATTAGTAATAGATTAATATATTATCTATTTTACATAAAGGTAAGAACTTTTCCTACTTTATAGTGACAAATAGAAGGGACTGTAGTGAATCACTGGTTTACAGTTGGTATTGCTATTAACTGAAGGCTCTTCTCCTACACCACAAAAGATGAAAGCCTGTAACACATGTACAGCCATAATGGATGTGTGGAAACAAGGAGTGAATTGATGAGAGGAGGGAATACGCAAAACAAAGAGAATATATACAGGAAGCCCTAACCTGAGAACTTGAACTTTTTATTACTATTCATTCCACACAAAGACACAGGCTCTAAATAAGCTCTAAATAAGCAACTGCAAATAAGTGTTACCATCTCCAGTAAAATTCCCCTTAGGAGCAACTTGGAATCCACCTTCCAGGAATATTTCCTAATTTCTAAGAAGTATAAAGGCACTATCTTCCCCCATCCTTCAAGCCACAAATTCAAAAACCACAGCACACACTGCATCACCATGAAAGCAAGTTTCTTTCTATTATGCAAAACTGACATTTCACCTTTTGCCTTTAAAGGAGTTTTGCATGGGAGGCTCTGAAATCAACTGATAATATGCAAAGGCAAACCTAGACTCAAACCACTCACACCTGCCAGTAGAGTAGTCAAAAACCTCATGCCTCTTCCTCATAAACTCAGTACACCATTCAATAACATACAAGCCAATAAAAACAGTTAGGAAGAAAGACTTGTATACCTATAAGTAGCTACCAAAATATTTGTTAAAACAGACATAGAATGATATTCTGAATGTATCCATTTTGACCTAAAACAGCCACCAGTCTTTCAAATCACAGATGCTGCTGTATCTGTCCCGATGAAGCACGACAAAACTATTTAGATTTACAGAAAGAGTTAAAACTGTATTTTTATAAGTTAACCAAACCAGTGCCCGGCCTGGTACTGCAAAGGAAATAGAGGACAGCCACACAGTTTCACAGTTTAGGGATTTGGCAGAGAATATTTTTGGTCATTATTTCTCACTACTGGACTTTTAAGTGCCATATTAATGGGAAAAGTTTAGCACTAACATTCAACCAACATTAACAGTCAACCAACAGGCATTAAGAAACATGTCCTGCATACTCCTATCTTCTAGACTAAAGATTACTATATTGTTACACGATTTTACTTACCCTCCATCTTGAAATTAATCCACCCATCTTCTGCTGTGGACAAATGTTGGCAGAGCTATCAATCTTCTACAAGAATTCACAGCTAGAAGTGAAGCATTAAGCACTTAGGAGCAATCTAACAGCATAGTCCAAGATTCACAAATTTATTCCAGTATCTAAAGGAATCAAAATATTGCATAAAGCCATTGCCTAGTTATCTACCTATATGTTATTTTAAAATCCAGTCCTCTGTTTCATAGGCCATCTTCTAAGTCAGTTGATCAGCCTTGATGTGGCCAAACTTATTTTTACTTTGGAAATATTTAACCAAAGGGGAGTCCTCAAAAGTAGAGGTACAAAATAACTGCTAAAAAAGCAACCAAAATCCTCCAGCCAAAAAACAATTTTAAAAACTTATTATTAAGCAGGATTATTTAAGAAACTGATTTCCAATTATTTCCTCTGCTGCTCATAAGCATAACTCTCAATGTTACTTTTCAGCTGTCACTGCAGGCATCCTACATTAATATCCTACTATTCATGAGAAAGTTCATCTCCAGTAAATCTTCTTCCTTTCCATGTTCTCACCAACAAGAACGTACTGGACAGCACTATCATTCTTCCTTTGTATAATGTCAAATAATCCATTTCAAAGAGATTTCATTTGCTCTGGGAAAGCACTACATTGGCAGGTCTTCCTTGCACACAACGCACAGTGCAGTCACCGGCACATCAAATGGCCCTAAAGCAATTCCAAAGGTGCAAAAGTAGCTCACCTCACCCTACACAAACTTGGAACCTATGAACAGCACTAATTTGATGACCTGGGTTTAGGTTCATGAAACAAAAGCAGAGCAACTTTCTATCAGCAGGTAGTTGGAATCAATTAACTTTAACCTTAGGATAGCAGAATTTCTCTCCAGTCACTTAATTTACAAGATTTTAACCCAGTGATTGAAAAAACAATCAGTTCCTAGCAACCCCAACAGTAAACTAATGGCCAATCCCAACTAGGGCTCAAACCTTTTTAACTCTGGAATGAAACAGAAAGACTTAAAACAAAGCACTGATCCAGTTAGGCAGAAATGTAAGTGATTATTACCTTGTTTATTAAGTTACCTTTGGCCAAAAATTGAAAGATGAAGAAACCTAATCTCAATCCAAATTTGTTTCCAAATTGTCCGAGGCTGTCAGAACAAATAAATATAATATAGGATACACATTGCTCACTAGCACGAATGCTACTGTAGTATGGTAACCTCTTCACCTTTTAAGAAAGCCAAGGACTTCAGAATCCAAAGCTGTAGGCCCTAAGATTTCAAAAGCCAATCCTTAAAGATAAGGAAACACGTATTTGAAACGCCACCAAAATGAAGCTAGAACAGATGGACAAATGAGCTCTGCTACTGCCAAATTACTAGCACAAAGGGGTAAGCTACAGAAAAAGCACAATTACCCCTTCGACTCTTGAGTAAATTCTCAAAATAATCACTACTACTACAGTAACTCACCTCAGTAAAACAGCAGCAATATTTTTATTTTTCAAATACGCAATCTAACACTGAGAATTTTATACAATTGTCACTTTGCAGTTACAGGTGAGTTTTTGCAGGACAGGTATTGCAGTAGATTTGAGCAGACACTTTCTTCACAAATATTTCTACAGAGACAGATAGTATCTTATTGCAAAACAACAGGAAAGCTACATCAAATAGCCAATTAAGACGTTTGTAAACTTAGCACAAGGTTCCCAAATCTAGCTTAGTTTGCTTCTCTAGCATTGCCACTGCTGTTAGGTGCAACAGTAGCTCTCAGCTGTGGACACATAGAGACACAGAGATGCTCATGCAGCCTTCTTGTGTGCCATTTTCTTTCAGGTCATAGTTTGAGAACCTCTGCAGTAGAAGCGTTAAGAGTATCTTTTGGGCATAGGTTATCCATGAGCTATTGGTGACACCAACCTTTGTCAAAAACACATTCACAGTGCGATCTTTACATATGTTTTTTAAACTATCTGGCAAACACTTGGAAGAGAAACAGGCTTGACAAGTGTCACCATGCGCATAATTTCACATGAACTATGACACTAACAGGCTTTACATATGCTGCTCTGCAAGTCAGTAATACACCAAAACCCAAATCCTTAGGAGATTGAGAATTTTCTATGGTTTCTGTAGAGTGCCTCAGATGTTTTCCTTCCCTCCCTCCTTTGACATGACAACACAAGTTGTCTTCAACTGCTTCAAACTCTCCTCATTCCTCCTCACCTGCCACTTCACATACCTACCACTAATAGCCTACTGTTCATGGTTAAGAGTCCTCCTTCCACAAGTCTCCTTCCTTCCCATGCTCTAACCATCAAATTATTGCACAGCACTTTTTCCTTCTGAAGACTGGACTTCTTTAGCACAGAGCTGTCCTTTCCACTCACTGAGCACTGCTGCAACTGGACTTATTTCCACAAATATTATCACTGGTTTAATACACAAATAAGATGGTTGCAATATTTCCTAGCCCTAGCCTTAAAATAGATAACAGAAGCATTAAAAAACACTTAATGCAGAAGCTTAAGAAAACACTATTACCAATTTTATTACCCAACTCTCAAAAAAAATATGGATTTCCTGATAGCATCTCCTCTACCCAAAAAATATGCAATTTAATTAGTAAAAAACAAAGCAAAAGTGCCACAGTAAGACTACCAGAGCAGAAAGTTCCTCTTTTGAAAAATGGATAAATCATGTACAGTTACAGAAGTCATCCACCAACCTATTCATCCAGATGGAGAAAATACTTTGATGATCTCATTACACTTTTATCAAGTCAGTCCCAAATTTCTTCAAGCTTGTTGTTGATGTTTTAAGATTAAAAGGTCTCCCAAACAAAAAAAAAAAAAATCAAAGTCTCCAAAATAGATTTTAATAACTAGCATGCTGAAATTCAAGACTAAATAACATCAGGACAAGTCATATTAAAAGAAGAAAGGAAGTTAGAAACTTGAAATCAAGGCTTTGCATACAGACATATAGACCTTTCCCCTGAAGGAAGGGGGAATGCTCTTTAAGTGAGTTTTTTTTGTAAACTTAGTGACTTCATTTTATATAAATATTTTCAGACATTTACCATTACAAAGAACACAAGTTCTACATTTCAAATTGAACCTCCACTTCTGCTCACAAAGCTTCCACCCGAAATTCATATTCTCTCACAATTTACTGACCTCAGAAACTCCCCCAGTGACCATAAAAAGCTTCTCCAGCTATGAGCGCCGTGGACAAGGACACAAGCAAAACAAAACCAGGAGCATCACCCATCGCCTACTGCTAGCCTGCCCTAGAACCTCTCGGGTAAAACAAGACACTGAATTTTGTTCAATTTAAACTTCATTTTCAGCCGTTTCGGTTTGGAAGCATCCTGTTGAGGCCCTATGCTTTGTAAAGCCTTAATTAAAAAGGCAAATTAGTTCCCACACAGAGACTCCAGAGCGATGGAGCGGG